GAATCCCGAACAGAACCTTCCCGAACTCAGTAGAAAGAAATTCGGTGGGAACCGAAAAGGCTTGAGTTCGGTACACGTAACCTGGTTCGGTGCTATAACTATAATAACATATAGGAATGCACCTAACCTAGGAAATCAAACATATCTATGCATGATAAATAAAACGTAAGCTAGTAATAGCATAATAATGTCCAGGCAAGCTAGCAAAGCCAGCATAAGCCGTCGTACTCTCACACGTCCCCCCCTCAAAGCTGGGTGGCGTGAGAAACACCCTGCTTGATAAGATAGTCCTTGAGAGCACGGCGTGCGTTGCCCATATCAGCTTCTGCAACCCAGCTGTCCTCCAGTGGGTCATATCCCTTCCAGCGTATCAGGAACTCGATCGTGTTGCCGCGTCTGCGTCGATGAGCGAGAACTTTTTCCACCTCGTACTCTGGTTCATCCTGTATGAGAACAGGTGGTGGTGGCGGTAGCTGGCGTCCCTGGAACTGTTGGTTGGGTTCCTTGTAGGGCTTGAGTAGCTGAACATGGAAAGCGTTGTGAAGCTTCAACGTAGTAGGTAAGCGCAAGCGGAATGTTACTGGTGTCACCTGTGCCTCAACGCGAAAAGGACCACAGAAGAGGGGCCGGAGCTTGGATGGTAGGTGAGACAGGTTCAAGTTGCGCGCATCAAGAAGCACCTGATCTCCGACTGCTACTGAGTGATCACGTCGCTGGCGATTGGCATACTGATTCTGGGAGTTCTGCATCATGGAAAGACGTCGCTGAGTCTTCTCCCATAGCTGCTGCATGGTGGTGACGAAGTCATGTGCGGCTTGGACGTGTGCCGGTGTGGTTGGCTGCTCTGGTGTAAGTGGTTCTCGTAAGAAAGGAGATTTTCCTGTGGCCGCATGTGACGCGTTGTTGTAAGCGAACTCAGGTATCGGTAGCTGTGAATCCCAGTGGCTGACGTCGTCTTTGCAAGCGGTGCGCAGTAACTGCTCAACCACCTGATTGAGTCGCTCTGTCTGTCCGTCAGTCTGGGGGTGGTATGCTGAAGACATTGCAAGCTTTGTCCCCAACAAACCCATGAGTCCCCTCCAGAACTTACTAGTGAACTTAGGGTCTCTGTCTGGATCCTGTAGGATGAGTACTGGCGCTGTAGTCAGTGCTGTCTGTAGCTGCTCCATGGCTTGCTGTTGAGGAGTATCCCATTTATAGGGCGTATCCTTTTTCAATAGGTTGGTCAGTGGCGTTGCTGTCTTAGCATACTGCGGCACGAACCTGCTGTAGTATTTGGCGAAGCCTAGGAACTGCTGCAATTCCTTCACGTTGTCCGGTACTTTCCACTTTTTAACGGCTTCGATTTTCCGCGGGTCCACGTGTACGCCCTCGGCACTCACCATGTGCCGGAGAAGCTGCACATTCTTCAGGGCGAAGTCGCTCTTCGACAGCTTCACGTAGATCTTGTTCTTCCGCAGGATCTCGAAGACTTTCCGCAGATGCTCCACGTGCTCCTTCATGGTATTGGAGTAGATCAGTATGTCGTCCAGGTACACCACTACGCATTCGTCCAGCAGGGGCCGTAAGATGTGATTCATCTCCGCCTGGAACGTCGCTGGTGCGTTGCAGAGTCCGAACGGCATCACTAAGTACTCGTAGGAGCCGTATCTGGTACGAAACGCCGTCTTGTGGATCGAGTTGTCTGCCATCTTGATCTGCCAGTAACCCGACCGTAGGTCCAGCTTCGAAAACACCGTTGCACCATGCAGTTGGTCTAGAAGATCGTCTATGCGCGGTATGGGGTATTTGTTCTTGACTGTCTGTTTGTTCAGTTCGCGGTAGTCGATGCACATCCGTAAACTGCCGTCTGGCTTTGGAGTGAAGATGACTGGTGCACCGTAGGGAGAGGTGGATGGGCGGATCAGTTGTCTGTCCAGTAGATACTCTATCTGCTTCTTCATGTCTGTCAGTTCGGTCGGACTAAGGCGGTATGGTGCACGTGAGACGGGTTTCGCACCTGGTTCCTCCACGATCTCGTGCTCGTGGGTTCGCGCTGGAGGCACTCCTGCAGGCAGGTCGTTTGGCATGATGTCTTTGTACTGCTCCAACACCTCCTTCACTGCTGCATATATCTCTGCGTTCGGCTTCTCCTCCTCTTCTGCTGCCATAACCAGTGCTAAGTAACCCGTGTTACTCTCGTTCACCGCCCGTTCGAACCGTGCCAGTGTCGTTTCAGGAACGTTCCTCGTATCCGTCCAGCTTCGCAGCTCCACTCGTTTCCCGTTGTTGTAGATGCACGCCTTCAGGTTGACCCAATCGATCTCGGGGTTGAACCACTTCAGAAAATCACGCCCCAATATGAAATCCAATCCCTTGATGTTCGTGATCGGCAACGTCGGCTTCCACCTCAACGCTCCTATCTGCAGCTGCAGTGTTGATTCGCCGTGGATGGGAAGCTTCGTACCGTCCACCATCGTTGCTGTAAACTGGGTCCCCTCCGATGACTCTCCAATTTTCTCCAACGTCCCGCGGTCGCACACCGAGTGGGACGCACCACTGTCCACCAGGGCCTGGAGGCGTCGCCCGTTGCAGATCACCTCAAGGAGTAGTGGCCGCTGCTGCTTCGAGTAGCCGTAGATGGTCGCTTATAGGATCGTAGGGTACGTCGAATATGTCATTCCTAGGTCCTGCGCTCGAAGATGCAGCTTCAATATCAGTTTTCAACTGAGAAAGGTTAGAAGGATTTATCCGAGGCCGATTCAACTTCTCTTGGGCCTGGAACCTTCCCCTAAGCCTTTGCAGCTGTGTAGGCTTCATTTGTGGGGAACAGGGAGCCTTCAAACAGTGCTGCTGGGAGAGAATATTAACTCCTCGGAACGCTCGACCCTTATTAGCGCTCCGGAGTAGGGTCCCCATATTACCCGGTATCGGTTTAATATCCGACTCTCCCTTAATAAAGGCTTGAAACCCACGAGAAGTAATATTCTTACTTGTCGGGGTGTACGGCTGGAGTTTCCCGGTCGGTGCAGGGTCTTGTTTCGCGGATCCTCCTTTGGACTCGGCGATTTCCCCTGATGCCGGCTGGTCGTGACGTTTTAAATTTGCGTCACCATATTCTCCTTTTTTCGCCCTCTCCGAAGTTGCCACGTTGTCCGTTTTCTGCTTCGGGGGCGCCGCACTGTTCTTCTCCCTCAGCTCCGCACGCCTTCTCTTCATTTTCCAACACGCCAAGATACGATGTCCTGTAGCGCCGCAAAATTTGCACGTCTCATTTTTTGCTAGCCGCTGCTCCACATCGCCCTCGTCGTTCTCCATCGGGTCGGCAGTCGTGGGTGGTGCCAATCGCCCCATGCCACTAGTTGGCTTGTTGCGTCGTGTTCCGTAGTAGCTACTGTTCAACGTGTCGAACTGTTCGATCAGTGCTGCCCGAAACTGCGCCCACGTCCCCTCGCCTTGGACTATTCTGTTGTTGATCCACTCTAGAGCTGGGCCTCGTAACATGTCAAACATTGTATATGTTCTATTTGTGTAGGCTATAGTGGGTTAGCCTTTAGGGGGTACATCATGCTAGGGTTTGGTACTTGTACTCTCATTCCTTTCTAGTTCATCACTTCTTCTTTCTGATATGGTATTAAGAGCGTAGGTTTAGACCTAGGATCGCTTACCTTAGGGCCCACCGTTCCGTTAGAAGTGCCCTCGAGCGCCTTCATGTCCTAGCGCCCTCGAGCGCCTTTCTCCTAGTGCGCCCTCGTGCGCCTCGCTGTCTCCTACTGCCCGTGCGCAACTCACTAGAGCCGCACGCGGCCTTTTTTTTTTTCGCGTGCGTCGCCCCCTAGCAGCCCGCGCACGGCCATTTCTGCGCGCGCGCCGCCCGTTAGCCGCCCACGCTGCCACGCGCCGCCCGCTAGCCGCCCGTCGAAGGGCCCTCCTGGCCGCGCGTAGCCCGCTAGCGACCGGCAGCCCCGCCCGTAGGCCGCGCCGTCGCCCTCTAGGCCGCCCGCGCGCAAGTCAGGCCCACGCAAGGCCACGGCCCGCCCGCTACAGCCGCCCGTGTGCACGCCCTCCGTCGCGCACCGCCACGTAGCCCAGCCCGAGCCGAACCGCGCCGCCTGAACCGAGCCGCGCCGCCCGAACCGAGCCGCGCCGCCCGAACCGAGCCGCGCCGCCCGAACCGAGCCGCGCCGCCCTACTGTTCCTGCCGTACTACTGCTTCAGCTGCCACTGTTACTACTACTGCTACAACTGCTACTGCTACTGCAGTTACTACTACTACTGCCACTGCAACTATGGCTAGTCCTGCTGTGCTAGCTTTCGATGCTGAGGGCCGCCCACTGAAGTTTGAGATCTGGCTCGATGACTTGCACCTATTCCTCCAGCTCACTGCCAAGGAGGATATATCACTGTACGATCACGCGCTAGGCCATGCTGCTGCCCCTGCTGCTACTGCTGACAGTACTGACCGCTCACAGTGGCAGACTCGTGACGCCCACGCTCGCTTCGCTATTCGCAACTCCCTGCCGGTAGATGAGCGCGAGCACTTTGGCCAGCACAAAACTGCGCAGGCACTATACACTGCTGTAGTTGCACGCTACTCCTCACCTGCCTCTGCTGCGCTAGGCCGTCTCTCGCTCCCCTACCTGTTCCCAGACCTATCAGCTTTCTCCACAGTCGCTGACCTCATCACGCACCTCCGCACTAGTGAGGCCCGCTTCCGTGCCGCTATGCCCGCTGAGTTTCTTGCCAACCACCCCCCCCCACTCTGGCTCACTCTCTACCACCTGGTCACCCGTCTCCCTGACTCTCTTCGTGCGGTCAGGGACCACTTCCTCGCTCGCTGCCCCACTGAGCTCACCGTTGACCTGCTCGAGAAGGAACTGCTTGCAGCTGAGACTAGCATAGTCGCTGTAGCTGCCTCTCGTGGCAACCCCCGCACCCCGTTCTTCGAGGGGTGTTCCCCTTCCCCCCTTCTCCCCTCTGTCCCCTCTGCTGCTGCTGTCGACCTCGTTGGTACTGAGCAGGTCGGGACTGCGTCCGCTCCGAGCTGGCGCCGCAGCGGCAAGGGAAAAGGGGGCAAGGGAGGTGGAGGTGATGGCGGGGGAGGCGGTGGTGGGGGCAGTGGAGGCGGTGGGGGCGGTGGCGGGGCTGGAGGGGCTAGTGGCAGCGGTTGGGGTGGTGGAGGCAGCGGCGGAGGAGGCGGCCGGGGTGGGGGCGGTGGTGGGGGCGGCGGTGGACGCGGCGGCGGCAGGGGCGGTGGTCGAGGTGGTGGCGGCGGCGGTGGTGGCCGTGGAGGCGCTGGCAGTGGCCAGAGCCAGCAGCACACTCCGTCGCCCCAGGAGCTTCGTGAGTGGTACTCTCAGCACGGGGGGGGGGGGTGGCCTTAGCTGCACGTACGTCATCCGCACTGGTGACCGCACTGGCCAGACGTGTGGGAGGGCGCACACCACGCAGCGCTGCTTCTCCCGCCTCGACGACGCTTGGCGTACTCAGTTCCCTACTGCCACTGAGCTGCCCCGCTGGGCTGATCTGATGAAGAAAAACATTGATATCTATGCTCTAGACTTTGATGCTATTCTCACTGCCATGTATGTGTTGTCTACTAGTGGAGAGGGTGCTCAGTACCTGCGTGTTCCGCCCGACCCGGGCATTCGGACCAGTGAGGCTGCCGCTCTAGGTGCTAGTGCGTCTGTTGCCCTAGGTGCTGGTGAGGCTGCCGCTCCAGGTATTCGCGTGTCTGCTACCCCAGGTGCTGGTGAGGCTGCTGCTCTAGGTGCTAGTGAGTCTGCGCCCCCTGGTACTGAGTCTACTGAGGCACTGCACACCTTCACACTGGACTCAGGTGCTTCTCGCTGTTTCTTTCGTGACCGCACCGCCCTTGAGCAGCTTGCTCGGCCAGTTGCTGTCTCCCTCGCTGACCCCTCTGGGGGTCCGGTCATTGCGACCTCCTCCACTGTCCTTCCTTGTCCTGCGGTCCCGTCGGGCACACTGTCAGGTCTCCACCTCCCCTCGTTCTCTACGAACTTGGTGGCGGGTTGTGCGCTCCAGGACGGGGGTGTCCACCAGTTCACCCCTGCCTACGAGCGCGTGACACACTGCACGTGTGCTTGGACGGGTCGCCACCTGGCTACCTTCACTCGGCAGCCGGGTCGGACCTGTACACACTGACCACTGAGTCCCCTCAGGTAGCTGCGTCTGCGTCTGTGTCAGGTCAGCTGTCGGCCCCCTGCTCGTGTCGCTCTCTAGCGCACGAGACCGTCCTCTGGCACCACCGCCTTGGTCACCCGTCAGTGCAGCGCCTTCGTGGCATGCACAAACGGTACCTTGTCTCTGGTCTTCCCAGGGTTCTCCCTCCCCTCCCACCCTCGCCTGCTCCTCCCTGTCTTCCCTGTGTCGAGGGGCGGCAGCGCGCCGCTCCTCACTCCTCCTCGTTTTCCCCGACGACTGCTCCCTTGCAGACGCTCCACATGGACGTGTGGGGCCCAGCCCGTGTCCGTGGCCAGGGTCAGGAGAGGTACTTCCTGATCGTTGTTGACGACTACTCGCGCTACACCACGGTCTTCCCCTTGCGCACCAAGGGTGAGGTCCCTGATGTTTTGATCCCTTGGATCCGCGCTTCTCGTCTCCAGCTCAGCGAGCGTTTCTACTCGGACTTTCCTGTCCTGCGTCTGCACTCTGACAGAGGTGGTGAGTTCTCCGACCTCTTGGCAGCCTACTGTGCGGAGCACGGCATCCGCCAGTCGTTCACACTTCCGGCCTCTCCACAGCAGAATGGGGTTGCTGAGCGCCGCATTGGCTTGGTCATGGAGGTCGCTCGTACCTCCTTGATCCATGCGGCTGCCCCCCACTTTCTGTGGCCGTTTGCGGTCCGATACGCTGCGCATCAGCTCAACCTCTGGCCCCGTGTCTCCTTGCCTGAGACTTCGCCGACACTGCGTTGGACGGGAGAGGTTGGCGATGCGTCGCGTTTTTGGGTCTGGGGATACGTCCGCGGACAAGCTCTCCTCCCGCGCTGTTCCTTGTGTCTTCCTTGGCTTTGTCCCGGACGCGTCTGGCTGCCATTTTTACCACGCCACCTCGCGCCGTGTCCTGCCCTCTCAGGACGTCACTTTTGACGAGTCCGTGCCCTACTACCGCCTCTTCCCCTACCGCACTGCCCCGCTCCCCCCCCCGCCTCTCTTCCTCGCGCCAGGTGCTGCTGTGGTAGACCCCCTCCCCCCTCAGGGTGCCGCTCCCTCAGGTGTGTCCCAGGTAGACCCGGTTGAGCCTGTCGAGGTAGCTGTCGACTCTCGTCCTGCTAGGGGTGCTGAGCCTGAGCGTGCGGAGCCTGGGGGTGCGGAGCCTGGGGGTGCGGAGCCTGGGGTTGCGGAGTCTGGGGGTGCTGAGCCTGGGGGTGCGGAGCCTGCGGGTGCTGAGTCTGGGGGTGCTGAGCCTGGGAGTGCTACGTTTGAGGGTGCTGAGACTGAGCGTGCTACACCTGGAGGAGCTCTCTCCTCACAGCAGCTACGTGAGTGGTACTTACAGTACTGCAGCCTCAGGAGGGGTGCTTCTGGAGCTAGGAGTGCTGCTGGAGCTGGTGCTCGTGCTTCCCCTCCTAGGCGGGAGCTGCCCTCTCCCCAGCGACTCCGAGAGTGGTACGCTCGGCGCTGCAGTCTCCGGAGTGGCGCTCCTAGTGTCGCGGACCCTACTGCTGGAGCTACTGGAGGTGCTGCTGCTGCAGGCGCTACTGGAGGTGCTGCTGCTGCTAGCGGTGCTGCTGGCGCTGCTGGAGGTGCTGCTGGTGCTGGTGCTGCTGGAGCTGCTGGAGGTGCTGCTGCTGCTGGCGCTGCTGGAGGTGCTGCTGGTGCTGGTGCTACTGGAGCTGCTGGAGGTGCTGCTGGTGCAGCTGCTGCTGGAGGTGCTGCTAGTGCTGGAGCTGCTGGAGGCACTGCTGCTGCTGGCGGTGCTGCTGGAGCTGCTGGAGGTGCTGGTGCTGGAGCCGCTGGAGCTGCTAGAGGTACTGCTGCTGCTGGCGGTGCTGCTGGAGCTGCTGGAGCTGGTGGAGCTACTGGAGCCGCTGGTCCTGGAGGTGCTCGTACTGGAGGTAGTGGAGCTGCTGGGACTGGGCCTGCTGAGGGGGTTGGAGCTGGAGGTGCTGAGCGGCCGCGGCCGTACTACGTTCCGCTCCTTCAGCAGGTTCTTGGCCTCCCGCCCTCTCCTGGTCCTACTCCTCCCCTACTGAGTCCACCGCCTGTCTAGTCGCAGTCACAGTTACAGCCAGCCTCTCCACTGCCTGGTCCTTCTCCTTACGCTGAGCCGACGGGAGGTCTTACGGAGCGTCGTGAGCCTGAGTCTCGTCCTCCGTCGCCTGAGACTCGTCCAGAGTCGTCTGAGTCGCGTCCAGAGTCGCCTGTCCGCGCTGTCCGCGCTGGTCGTCGTGCTCCGCGTCAGCGTCCTCCTCCTGTCCTTGGCACTCACTATATGACCATGCGTCCTTCCACAGCTCCACAGCGTGTCCCTCTGCCGTCTCCGCCAGCGTCATCTCTTCCTGCTCTCGCTGACCCGGAGTCTGACTCTCTTCGTGCTGCCAGTCCTACAGTCACGTGTCTCCTTGCCACTGTTGTCACTGACCCTTCCTTTGAGTCCTCTGCTGCGTCTGCTCTAGTCGCTGAGCTTGTTGACTTTGCTGCCGCCTGTCGTCTAGACTACGCCGCTAGCCTTGTTGCTGAGTCTGAGTCTGAGTCTGTCTGTCCTCCGTTCGTCGGGGGTGAGTGTGCTCTTGGCACGGACGTCCTTGAGGACAGACAGGAGGAGTTTGAGTGCTTTGCCGCTGCTTTACCTCATCTCGTGTCCATGCTGATTGCCCCTGAGGGAGACCCGGATGCACCAGACATCTCGACCCCACGCTCCTACGCAGAGGCGATGGAGGGTCTCTACTCCTCTCAGTGGCAGACAGCCATGGACGCAGAGATGGCTTCCTGGAAGTCCACAGGCACCTACGTCGACGAGGTTCCCCCACCTGGGGCGAACATCGTCAGTGGCATGTGGATTTTCAGGGTGAAGCGGCCGCCGGGTTCTCCGCCTGTCTTCAAGGCGCGTTACGTTGCTCGAGGCTTCAGTCAGCGAGAAAGAGTTGACTTCTTCCAGACCTTCTCCCCGACCCCGAAGATGACCACTCTTCGGGTTCTGCTGCACGTCGCTGCTCAGCGTGACTACGAGCTCCACTCTCTTGACTTCAGCACTGCGTTCCTACAGGGCAGCCTGCACGAGGAGATCTGGCTGCGCCGCCCACCTGGCTTCACTGGGTCGTTCCCTCCTGGTACCCAGTGGAGCCTCCGGCGGCCAGTCTACGGTCTCCGCCAGGCACCCCGTGAGTGGCACGACACACTGAGGACTACGCTTGCGGCTCTTGGGTTTGCTCCTTCTACTGCTGACCCGTCGCTGTTTCTACGCACCGACACCACTCTGCCGCCGTTCTACGTTCTCGTGTACGTCGACGACTTGGTCTTTGCTACTGCTGACACTGAGGCACTCGCCCACGTGAAGTCGGAGCTGCAGAAGAGACACACGTGCACAGACCTGGGTGAGCTGACAAGCTATCTTGGCTTGCGGATCACCCGGGACAGAGCACAGCGCACCATCACCTTGACTCAGTCACACATGGTGCAGCAGGTCCTTCAGCGCTTCCGCTTCACGTACTCCTCGCCTCAGCCCACTCCTCTGGGAGAGAATATTAACTCCTCGGAACGCTCGACCCTTATTAGCGCTCCGGAGTAGGGTCCCCATATTACCCGGTATCGGTTTAATATCCGACTCTCCCTTAATAAAGGCTTGAAACCCACGAGAAGTAATATTCTTACTTGTCGGGGTGTACGGCTGGAGTTTCCCGGTCGGTGCAGGGTCTTGTTTCGCGGATCCTCCTTTGGACTCGGCGATTTCCCCTGATGCCGGCTGGTCGTGACGTTTTAAATTTGCGTCACCATATTCTCCTTTTTTCGCCCTCTCCGAAGTTGCCACGTTGTCCGTTTTCTGCTTCGGGGGCGCCGCACTGTTCTTGTCCCTCAGCTCCGCACGCCTTCTCTTCATTTTCCAACACGCCAAGATACGATGTCCTGTAGCGCCGCAAAATTTGCACGTCTCATTTTTTGCTAGCCGCTGCTCCACATCGCCCTCGTCGTTCTCCATCGGGTCGGCAGTCGTGGGTGGTGCCAATCGCCCCATGCCACTAGTTGGCTTGTTGCGTCGTGTTCCGTAGTAGCTACTGTTCAACGTGTCGAACTGTTCGATCAGTGCTGCCCGAAACTGCGCCCACGTCCCCTCGCCTTGGACTATTCTGTTGTTGATCCACTCTAGAGCTGGGCCTCGTAACAGTGTTGGTGCGAGCCGTATGCGCATTGCGTCTTTTGTTGGGGTCGTGCATCCAACGGCTTCGAAGTAAATTTCGAGTTCAGCTACAAATCGACGAACGTCGTTTCCTTTAACTGTAGGATCGAACGCCTCCGGTAGTCTCGGCTTCACTGCTTCGAGGTTAACTGTAGCTGCTGCCGTTGTCGCAGGTAGAATTGTCGGTGTCGCCGCTGCTGCTGCTGCTGCTGCTACTGTTGTCGCTGCTGCATTCGCTGCTGCTGTGGCGGTTGCCGACTGGTTCGCAAGGAGTTTCTCGAGTCGTGGGAGCGCCACACGTATCTGCTTGTGCTCGGCACGTAACTCCGCGATTTTCTGTACTGAAATATCTATTTTTCCCTCCATCAGGCGATTTACAGGAAGATGCGCGACGAAAAAAATCGAATTCTAGGTGCTGGTCGACTTACTGCGAGTCGAGTCGCTTGTAGAATCGACGAGCGCGAATTCTGTAGGTCGCGTAAATCTCCCTTAGTCGAAATTCGCGTTCGATCTTGGCCGTTGAGGAGAAACTCGATCCGACGCTCCAAATTCCAACCTTTTTGGGCGATATTCTCTGGGCCATTGAGATGAAACTCGATCGAACGGTCGAAACTCCAACCTATTCACCAGTAAATCTGAGGGGTGTTTGAAAACCGAATCGAGGGGGACTTAGAAAAATGCGCGGAACTGGTTTTACATACCCGTATCGGCGCTTTCGTCGTCGCCCCCGCGGTTTTTAAAGGCCGGAACTAAGCGGTTGAAGACCTCGCGTGTAGACCCGCTCTGATTACCAAGTGTGAGGATCTGGTTCAGGAAAGATGATTCTATTGAATGATTCACCTGGGTACAAGGCGAGGCTATATATAGGCTCGACACAAGGCAGGTAACCCAGGTGTTACGCGAATGTTCTGAGGGTCGCGAAGCGTCCCGAACAGAACCTTCCCGAACTCAGTAGAAAGCAATTCGGTGGGAACCGAAAAGGCTTGAGTTCGGTACACGTAACCTGGTTCGGTGCTATAACTATAATAACATATAGGAATGCACCTAACCTAGGAAATCAAGCATATCTATGCATGATAAATAAAACCTAAGCTAGTAATAGCATAATAATTTCCAGGCAAGCTAGCAAAGCCAGCATAAGCCGTCGTACTCTCACAGCTGGGCTACCGGAGCAAGGGACCCGGACTACTGGTGCTGCTGACGTCACGACGGCTACCTCCGCTCAACCTCCCCAAACTGTCCCACACCCCTTTCACACACCCCTTGCTGCACCCCTAGCTCCACTCCCATGACACCCCCCTAGCGCCACTCCTTCGGCTCCCACACACCCATCCCCCTCAGCGGCAGCTGCAGCAGTGGGAGACGGAGGAGGCGGCGCGCGTGCGGCGCGGGGCAGATACGCGGGCAGCAGCTGGGGCGGCGTGCGAGCGGAAGCGGGGCGGCGCGCGGGTCCCTGGGGCGTTGCGACGGGCGACGGGCAGGGCGGCGCGCGGGCCCCCGGGGCGCCGCGACGGGCGACGGGAAGGGGCGGCGCGCGGGCCCCCGGGACGCCGCGACGGGCGACGGGAGGGGACAGCGCGCGGGCCCCCGGGGCGCCGCGACGGGCGACTGGAGGGGGGACGGCGCACGGGCCCCTGGGGTGCCGTGACGGGCGGCGAGCAGGAAACTGCCACGCGCCCCGAGCGCGTGGCGGGCAGGGCGCGCGGCGGGAAGAAAAAACGCCGCGCGTGCCGGGCGCGCGGCAGGCAGGACAGCAGCGGAAGCAGGTGGGCCCACAGGTCAGGAGCGTTCTCGCTCTGATAGCATGTCAAGATTAGAAGCTAGAATGTTAGAAACAGAAAGAGGGGTTGCACTAGCAGCAGATAGGATACATATAGCAAACCCTAATTTGGGCTGTACTCACTACAGAGTACCCCACTGCAGACTAGACAGTTATAGCATTCTGACATACCCTACCATTTTGGGGGCATGCGTGGCGAGCCCATGGACCGTGTTGTACGCCGTGAAGTTAGTTGCGCAGTAAGGATTTTGAATAAATTGGTAACACAACACAACTTATGATGAGCCTAAAACCAGTACTACCTATTTTATGTGTTGGAAGATGCCATATTCACTTTCCATTTTGAAATGATGAAATGATTTTTATTTATGGTACAACTTGCAAACAGGGCTTAAAACAATTAACCAGACATAGTGTGCCTGATAAAAATAGCCCCATGAAAAAGAAAGATTTCCGTAACGGAAACATATGTACACCTCCAGGGAATTAGGTGGCAACAGCTTCACCAGTCAACACCACAGTTAGATCCCTGCTCGCAGGAGGCCCACCGTGTAAGGCGGCTTGAGGAACCATGGTTCATGGCCCGACCGCCATGGCTGCTGCTACGGCGGCTTCTGCCACGCCCTTTCTGACTGCCCATCTTCGGCACTGAATGCGCGCGAGTGGCTGTGCTGAGATGTGACGCGGTCGGCCTTGCACTGCCCAACTCCCTTGAGTAATGTCGCCATTCGTCGTCGTCGCTCTCGCCTTCCTTTAGGAACGACTGTAACATGGTAACAAACTGTTCGCACCGAATCGCATTGAGTTCGCGCTGTGCGTCCAGAAACGAGATCCGACCTTCCAGCGCGAGCAGATCGAGATCCGCGCGGCTGTCGTGCAGGCGTCGTGAGGAGGGCATGTCATCGTTCTGAGACATGGCCAGGACAGCAGGTGATTGCTGAGAAGACATGGCACGCTGAGAGTCGACCATCACGTCGTTACCGCTCCCCATGTTTAGAATGATTCTGCTGGAGCGACTGAGTGTAGTTCGAGTTACCTAGAACTGTGAAAGCAATCGAGTGACGCTTCTAAATATACGAAACCGAGCACTGAATTATAGGCGGAAGAATGTCGCTTTATTCCCATCTGGTCTGGACCAGCTCCTCATTCGGGCCAACTCGGATGGACATGACGACTCGCTAACAATGGCGTCCAAGGTATGCCTGAGTTCGCACGGCGTAGTAACACACTGTTGCAAGTAAGAAGAGTCTTCGACGATGGAAAATCGCAGATCGCGGCGCAATGAGCCTGACGGTTCGACTTAAACTTCGAGAAGGTCGGACCTCAGGCTAGGAGCAAGGACAAATCTCCTGATGATGCGTTAGGATCATCACTGTACGGATCGGTACAATGTGAACCTCAAACATCGGA